GAGAGAGAGAGAGAGAGAGAGAGAGAGAGAGAGAGAGAGAGAGAGAGTGTGTGTGTCTGGGGCGAATCAACACCATGCAGCCAGATTTTTTAAACCCCTGCACCAGGCAAGGACACTCACACCACTGTCATTCAATGTCTTTCTCCCTGCCTCTCTCTCTCTCACGCACATTTGCACGCACACTTCCTTGTGATTAACTATCCAGCCTGATTAGCCTGTAGGCTAACGGCTAATGCAAATGAAACTTGGTTCTGTGGGCTGATATACGACGTGATCATCCAGCCACCACAGTGCCTGCCTGGTCACATGTGAACCCCCTCCGTGACACACATGCAAACGCTTTCGTTTTCTCCCAACACATTAGAAAAGGGGGGGGAAAAAACAGAGAGAGGGCAAATTAATGGACAAGGGTGGGCAGAGATGAACACGGGATGGAGGGAAAGAAGGGAGGCACACCAGGATTTAAAGGGGGGAGCTGGCTGGGGGTGAGAAAGTAAAAAGGGAAAGGAGGGGATCAGCAGTGTTGAGCCCAGCCGTTCAGCCACTCTGGGATTCAGCACGCGTCCCTTCCCATGATCCCACTTGGGATTCTGCCACTTGTGTTCTTGGAGTATCATACTGTACACAGGGGCTGTCGGAGGGAGGGGATGGATCGCATACAGAGAGAGACACACAAAACATACATGCACATGTACGCTGCAGAAACCAATCTCTGTGTTGGTATGGCAACCCTAACATGTGCAGGGACACTACATCCGTGTACATGCACAATACGTACTCCAGTTCTGTGCAGGTTCACATTATAATTTCGTCTTTGCCTATGACATCGAGGCTGGTGTGTGTGTGTGTACGTGTGCATTACTATTAAGCAGAAGTCATTTTCTGTGTGAGCACTGCCGGACTCCCATCATCACCGAAGATGTGACAAGCCTTGCATAACAATAGATATTTTTAAAACCATATTTCTCTCTCTCTCTTTCGCGCCCACAATCTGACATTTGAGATGAAAACCAATTAGGGTGTAGAGTGAAAGTGCATCAGACGTTAAATTATTTTTTTTGAAATCCGCTCTTGCTCCTACTGAAAGCTGTTTTTAAAAGTGAGTGCGTGTGCACGCGTGTGTCCTACTGTAGGAATGATTGATATTTTCTGATGTGTGTCTTGGGAACGCAGAGAATAATGGGAGGCTTTCAGATGCATCATTAGGCCAGTATAGTAACCATGCACGCACACACAAAGACACACACACACACACACACACTCACTGTGTGTACTGCTCCCTTTACTTCATCCCATTTAATGCTGCATCACAATAAAAAACATAAACCTGGGAGAGACTTATGCCCTAATTGCTGTGTTTCCCTGTCTCTACGGCAACCATAATTAAACGCCGTTTCACATCACAACATCTGGATTGGCCACACCAGTGCAACACACTCCATCCAAGCATGTGTACACGAACACGCCCACGAGCACTGAGGAATGTGAGCAAAAGCTATAAGGGAATCAGTCACTGAAGACAAAACAATATAAATGTCAAGTGCAGAGAATGTAGCTACACGCGGAGCTCAGCCCTGGAGCCCTATTGTTAATTTGACTATGAATATCCCATATTCTCAAGAGGGTGCGTTTGCGTCCTCTAACAGAGTCTGGGTACTGGAGCCTCATTAGGAGGTTGAGGAGAGAAATCAGTGGACCACATGCCGTCCCCAATGTACTCAAGCCATCATTTTCTTTCTCCCTCTTTCTGTCTAACTGTGTACCCTAATGAGTGACTCTGCACAGCTGCATAAGCTACCACTGACTACTAATGAATCCCCCATTTACTTTTATAAACTCAGTGGGGGCGTATTCCGTTTCCACCTGCCAGTGATAGTGATAAGTGACACCGACGTAATGCCTGTTAACACGAAAACAATGTTAAATTTAAATGCGATAAAATAGAAATGACTCATTAACTATAAATGCTAACTCTGCCGGTGACGATGCAAGACGCCTACCCTATAACTTTTAAGGCGTATGTGTGTGTTCTGTGAATTTCACTGACTTTATTCGGTACTAATTTTGCCCGTAACTTTAGTTTTGGCTGCAAGGTCCCATGCAGACTCCCACATCGGTCTCCTACCTGCACGAGCTGGAGTCGGTTTCTTGGTGGTTGTCCTCGGTGCCCGACGCGGCTGGTGCTGCCGCCGCCTCCTCCTCGACCTCAACATGAGCGGTTGGCTCAGGTACCAGCTGGGGCATCGGAGCCTCGCCGGGGGACTCCATGCTCGTCGCGGGTCGGGAACGACGATGAGGCGGCGGGGAGACCCACGACAGCGCGGCGGCGGTGGGGCTCCTGCACTCTGGCTGGCTGAAGGAGCGGGTGCAGGAGCTCCCCGTCGCTCCAACTGCTCCTCCCGGTCCGCCCCGACTCCCCGTTGAATCAGCAAACTTTCTGTTGCTGCCGCTACACAGATTAGACCCAGCGCTGCCGCTGGCCACCAGCCCGCTGTGACCCCCAGCGCTGGGGTTCGCGCTGGCTGAATTCGAGTTGCTACAGCCGCTGACTGACGCCCCGTCTCCGGAGCTGCCGCCCGCTCTTCGCCCGGCGAAGTAGTCTCCTAGCGGCGGGGAGTGAGTCGGAGGGACCGCGGGGTGACCGAACCACCTCCATCGGATCCTGAGGATCTGCTTCACATCGAACTCCTTCCGCGAGGAAGAGCCCGAGCCGCTACTCGACATTCCAGGGCTCGGCACGAGGAAATGGCGGGGGAGAGCCCGTGCCGCTCTGCCGTTAAAACTGTACACTACTCTGCTGCACGCGCGCCTCTCCTGGCAACCGTACGCCCGTTAACCGCGACTGGATGTAGTGAGCGGAATATAGCGGAGTATATAGACAGAGAGAGAGAGAGAGAGAGAGAGAGAGAGAGAAACAGAGAGAAAGGGAGGTCTACACATAGTTTTAACGTCAGTGCCAAAGCTCTTTCATGCACAAACTAAACCACAAACATTTGCCACAAGGACAAATTAATGTCACATTTCTGCCAGTGCGGGCCACAGGCATTTTGTAGCAGAGAGGAACGATCATTATTGTTATTATCATCATCATCATAATTATTCAACAGGCCAGACAATCAATCAATAACAGGCTACTTGATAGTGGACGAAGTCAATCTGTTTGGCAACCAGTCTGTACGGCAAGTAGAGTGTGTGAGAGTCTGCATGCCTGATGTTTATAGAGCTTATTTAAAATGTGAGGAAATAGTCTTTCAACAATTTTCTGAAGTTCGACTTCAAATTGCTTGTTTTGCCGAACAGTCCAACAGCAACTCACATCTCACAATTGAGAGTGGAACCAATGAATGTTTGCATTTTTTGTTTTGCTTGATAAAAAAAACAAAAAAACGTTTGATTCAATTCAATTCAATTCAATTTATATTTGTATAGCCCAAAATCACAAATTACAAATTTGCCTCAGAGGGCTTTACAATATGTACACATTTGACATCCTCTTGTCCCAGGACCCTCACATCGGAACAGGAAAAACTCCCCCAAAAAACCCCTTTAACGGGGAGAAAAGAAGAAGAAACCTGTGGGAGAGCAATAGAGGAGGGATCCCTCTCCCAGGATGGACAGAAGTGCAATATATGTCATGTGTAGAACAGGATAGTGAATTACAACACATTCAATGTAATTACAGCACATTCAATGTATGACAGAACCATGGCAGGAGGCAAGACCTGGTCCAGGTATAACCCGGATACACAGGAACCTGTGAGGCGAGAAAGCACAGAGACTCTGGTGAAGAAGCAGGTCAATAATGTGCATTAATGGTATCGGTAATATGAAATAGTAATGCGAGTATGGATTGATGGATTATTAAAATTTATTTCAAACATTGCAAACATTCTCTGAATCCACCTTCTCCAATGTGAAGCTTTGCTGCTTTTCTCTCTTTATACCTTTGTAAATTGAGTGTCCTTGGGTTTTGGAATTTTAATATTTTCTTAAAAGACCAAACTGATTGATCAAATATTAGATTAATAAACACCGACAATAATCGCCAGTTGCAGCCTTGCAGTCTCATGGGGATTGCTCCTCAAAAAGTCCCCACGACATTGTAAACCATTCAATGTTAGGGTTATTTCTTGGTTTTTGGTTGAGGTTTCTATTGGGGTTGGGATTAGGTTTATGGCTGTTTTTGTTGAGGTTAGGATTCAGCCTTTAGGTAATAAATAAATGTAATGTCCTCCTATAAAAACATGTGTCTTGGTGACTGTGTACAGGCATGCATGCATCAGGACGAGTGTGCGTGCAGGTTTCTGAGGCTACAGCAATCATTACATGTTCATCAAAGACTCTGAAATGTAATGAGGTGGTGGGTTTATCCTCTATATCATCTTCATTTCCACCCCGTCTTGCTGTCTTCGCTCACTTCTGTGTGAGTCTCCGTCTCTGTCTTGTTGCCCTCCTAACAATCACACTTTGTTCAGAAACCTGGCAGCAATAAGCTGCCGTGCCGATTTTGTTGTTTGAGCAGATATTACAGACAGAAAAACAGCCGGCATGGCTTCGAATCACCACAGTGGGGGAATTTAGTGTCCTTGAAAATTAATTTGACTTCCCCGAATGCACGCAAACACACACACACACACGCACCCACAATCCTTATTCCTCTCTTCGTTTCACCACAAACCATTTACTCACCCATTACAACACTTCCTTCCCGTCTGTTCCTTCTCCTCCCCTCTCTTCCCTCCATCTGCAATGCAGCAGCTATTCATAGACAGCGACGGTCATTGGGAGCGGGTCCTGTGGGAGCCATCCTCCATCCAGAAGCCCGGGGCACCCAGCGGGCAGACTAGCCAGCCAGAGCCTTCCTCACCTTCCCCAGTAACCCCTTTGACGACCACCAGGATGGGCCCCGAGCCACGGAGCCAGAACGCGGTGTGTTTCTGCATGGAGTCCCACCAAACAGGAAGAGAGGGATGCTTTAGGAGCCCCAATCTAGCAAAAATCAATAAATCAAACAACCGAGGGCAGTTTGTGGATTACACAGACGGGAGATGTGTTGCTCATAAATTGGCCCCACAGACTTAACAGCCAACCCCATGTGGGGACTTATTTTATTTCACGATTAAATGACTGAACAGAGCAGATGAATACAGGCGATTTTAAAACCTTTTCTGCTTTTGCTAGCCAGATCCTGAGAAACACAGGGCTCTTCTTCAGCGTCAGGATGCGCTGACAGCTAAGTGCTATACCACCCTGCTGTTCTATCTGATCAATACTACGAGTCGATACAAACACACACACAAGACAAGTCTGCGAGGAGGCACGAAAACAAGCAGCAGTGTCGTTCGAGCAAAGAAATAACAAAGGTTCACAGAGCAGGGGAGTCAGGAACAAGATTTCACACATCTAGCAGTTTTTTCTTGTTGTTGAAACACTGACTAATTGAATGGAAGAAACCTTTATTGTTTCCAACCAGAGCATGCACAGAGAGAGACACTTGCTCTCCCTCCTACGGAGCCGTCAACACAACTCGAAAAAGAAGCGAAGAGTAAACCAAGGCATTTCTGCAACACCTGCGATGAAAACCCCCTCCTGTTTCTGGGACGGGGGGTGGGGGCTGGGAATGGGGCTCTGAGGGGGAATGAAGCTGTGGAATGACGGGCCATTCAGCTCTGGCCTCCTTCAGTTGGATCTAATCATTGGTCACTTGGCGGGAGCCTCCTTAAGCTGCTATACTGTTATTGGTCTCCTGGCTGCGGTAGTGCAAGGGCATCACTCAAAAACTCTCCGGCACAGCTTTATGGCTGCACAGCACTTTGGACACACAAACACACACACATACACATAAACACTGCCACACACACACACCCAAGAGAACAACACCCTTCCAACCATGGAATCCCATTCACACACACTTCACACTCGATAATCATCCTATTCACACATGCAAGCATGCGTGCACACACACGCAAATGGCATCATGCAATCCCATTTATGCACGCTTTTCTTTGCTATAAGCATTCAACTACACACACACACACACACACACACACACACACACACACACACACACACACACACACACCCACACACACACACACAAATCCAGAGCCAAATAAAAACAGGTAGCAGCTGTCTGGGGAGAGCTGTCGTAAAAATGATTTTATAGGGCCAGAAAGTGAAACATTATCTGTCTGGCCTGTCTGTGATGATCAGCTCATTTGTCATGACTGATGTTCATCCTCCAATGGCCTTCTTCTGATCTCCCTCTCTCTTTCTTTTTTCCTTTGCTCTCTCTTCCTGTCTTCTTTTTCCACTGTGCTCTGTTTTGAAATCTTCTCTCCCCTCCTTTCCTCCCCGCCCGCACTCTCCCCCCTTTCTCCACAATCTCCTTCCCCAACCTCAATTTCCTGCTCCCCATCCCCGCTACTATACTATGACACACAAGGGAATGTGTGCGTTTGTGTGTGCACGTAATGGTGGGGCTGTTATTCCCTGAGGTGGAAACCCGCCGGAACGAGCCATACAGGCTTGCAGGCATACACACATCACGACTTGTGTGCAAACACTCGCATATGCCTGCCCACTTACACACACACACACACACACACTCACACACACTGAGCTCTGACAAATATGAGCCATATATCCACTATACATTCTGCATGCATACACACAAAAACACATGGACACACTTTCATTCAAGTCACGGATCTTGTCACACACAGACAAAAACACACACACACACGCTTGTTTCCGTTGTGTAATAGCAGTGCTGGTTGGTACTGTATAGCTGCAGGCGAGTCCGTCCTTGAGACTCAGAGCAGGCTCAGACTGGCCAAGCAAATAATTACCTCTCCACATCGACACGCTGGCTCCTCCCGAATGAACGAGAATCACAGGGAGTGTTTGATTGCAATTAAATTGATCTGGAGGCACAATATTCAATGTTATCGAGTGGAAAATGTATTTCACACAGGCAGGAGGGCTTGCAGGGTGGAAGGAGACCAATGTTTTGACCATGTGCTTCTAATTGTGTGTGTATGTTTCCTTGCAAGTCTATCTCTGTGGGGACCATTTAAATTTCAGACCTTGGCAGTGAGGACATTTTTGCAAAATTGGAACAATATCCCTTACTTATGGGTGAGACCTAATCTTTACAAACAGATTCTGCATTCATATGTAGAAATCTGTAGGCAACTGGACAAAATGGTGGCATCGGAAGCGTTCCGGTTTCTGTGCATGTAAGCAGTCTGTGTGGAGAGCATAAAAGGCGGACTCATTGGCCTGAATGCAGACAGGGAACCCACAGGCTAGCGTCTGACGATGGTTTCGCTTTTTATTGGCTTGCAAACTGGCTACTTCCGGTGTACACGTCTTGGCCCGGGTATCCGCTGGCTACACCGGAACCCCAGAAATATAGCCCCTTTGCCCCTGAAGCTTATCCGTTGTCAGACCGATAGCCGATAGGTTCAGAGATTGTGCGGGACCTTCAGAAGGCTCTTTGGTCAAGACCTGGATTTAAGGTTAAAGTTAGGTTCAGACCCATCCATTGCTCAAGTGTCATCATTTAAGGCAATTTAGCAGTCTTAACGCAGCGCACTCTGGAATCACAAATGGTTTAATACAATTTTTTTCACTCTTACAGTGGTACTCCCAAAGACCTGTAAACTGATTTACACTGGTGTGTAAAATCAATGAGGTTCCCCTGTAAAGTTAGGGGTAGGGGCTAGGGCAGGGGTCGGCAACCTTTACTATCCAAATAGACTCAGGGAGCCGCAACAGAGGGGCTGAAGAGCCGCATGCGGCTCGTGAGCCGCAGGTTGCCGACCCCTGGGCTAGGGAATACATTATATCAATGATGGTCCTCACATAGAG